TAAATATTCTATCCTCTTTTTTTTCCCCGTTCCTTCGTCGTGGCGCGGTGACGGCTGTTGTTGTCTCCCTCCCTCCTCTCTCTCTCTCACTTCCTCCTGGGACAAGGGGAATAGGGTGGAGTTCAGGAATGGCGTCGAAGCGGCCGCAGCGTCGGCCGGTCAACATCGACGACGACGCAGCCATAGACTTTTCTGCCGTGGCGAAGGCGGCCCCGACGAGGCCGGTGGCCCCTCCCGCGTTGCTGCAGTCCACCGTGGCGGAGGCAGCGCAGAGGCAGCAGGGCGCCCCCGCCCCACTGCAGGCGGTGGACCCAAGACTCAGCTCCCACATACATCGAGCCGGTCCACGCCGTCGCGTTGGCTTCGGTGGACCTCCTGCAACCTCGCCGGCGTTTGACTCCACAGTCCCGCCTGGCGCTGCAGGCAATAGCACTAGCGGCGGAGATGACGTGAAGGGAAACAAGGAGCTGCTGGATGCCTTCTGGCGCGAGGATGCGGTGCGGCAGGAGCAGGAGTCCCACCAGGCACGACGTGAGCGGTACGAAAAGGAGATACGCGCTCTTTGGTGCGGTGGGTCCGCCGCTGCGGAGGCGGCGCCTGAGGCGGGGCGCACTGGCGCCGCGCCACACCAAACATATTCCCTTCTGGACCAGTTTTTTGCGGATGGGGTTCCGGACGTGGAGCCGTGGGACCTCTGGGCGCTCTCCATGCCGCGCTACGGTTTGGCAAACGTGGCTGCGGGCCAGCTGGACCGCGTGCACCACCCTCTGCTGCCCGAGACGCACTACTCGCAGCACTACCGCCACCGCGTGGAGGAGCCGCCGGCCGCGGTGACGCTGGCGAAGACCCGAGAGGAACTGCGTGCGGAGCGCCGGGAGCGGCTGCGCAAGGCGAAGGAGGAGCGAGACCGCGCCAGGAAGGCCGCTCTCCAACAGCAGCCACACGAGGCCGACGTCGCCGGCGGTGGGCTCACGGCAGCCTCGCTCGGCTCCACCGCGAGGGATCGCCTCAGCAACAGCAACCTGCGCTTTAATCTCTTCGGCGACAGCGTGATGAATCCACTGAGCACGGAGAACAAAATCTTTTCGCAGTACCAGGAACGCTTCCTTGAGCACCAGCGACGCAATCACGAACGTCACGTGGCTGCCATCCCGCAGCAGATTGAAAAACGCAACCGCGACCTCAAACGACACGCTGAGGAGCAGCCCTTTTTTAGGGCCTACCGCATTTTTCCTATTTTTACCCCGGCCCATCTGGGGAAGCTGCGCAACTTCGCAAACGATGGCCTGCTGCGCGGCTTCGTTCTGTGGGTGTGCCAGTGTGACGCACTTGTTGTGTTGACGGGCGGCGAGGTCGCGATGCGGCACCTGGAGCGTTGGATTCTACAGAAGATGCGCTGGGACTCCCCCGAGACGGCCGCCCTGCGGCTGATGACGTGCCCGCTGCAGGACGCCGCGACGTTTTCATTTGTCTCCGCGAAGAGTCGAAAACGCGGGCGCCAGCCGGCACGGGCCACGGAGGAGGCGCGGGCGCAGAGGGAGCCGAAGAAGAACGGGGACGACGCTGAGCATGTCTACATGAACTTTGCGGATAGCGTGCAGGAGGGCGAGTCTTTCATGCGCTCGCTGCCGACAGCGGGGCCGTGGAGGGACCTCTCACACGTCTGGCGAGCTGCACTCGCATCGGGAGTTGGAAGTGACGCCAATTGAGCTTGACGGCGCCGAGGCTGGCGAAGCTGACGACACACCTTGCAGGCGAGGGAAACTGAGGCGAGAGAGATGTTGCTGGCCGCTGCTGCGAGGACCGCTTATCTGCAGTGAAGTCGGGCAATTGTTCCTATTATTTGCTTCTCTCCCTTTTTCTGGGTGTGTGAGTCCTGCGGATGTGGGGCGGGGGAAAGTGCCGCCGGTCATTCTTGTCGCTTGTTCTCTTTGCCGTCACTGAATTCCTTCCTTTTTTTTTTCGTTCTCACCTTTTTTTTTTCACTCTTGTCGTGGCCACGACATGTTTTTGCTTGGCGGTTCTTTACCTCCGACAGCTATTGATCGCATTTATTACCGCCACAGGAGCACTCCAAGGGAGAAGCAAACTTCAATAATGTTCAGCTATCCGCCCTTTTCACTGACGAAGCCCATGTACGACATGGACACCTACGGGGGTCGCATCATGTACTTCTTTTCCTCCATCAACCCGCTGCTCTGCTTCCAGACGGAGCGGATGCTGCTGCAGAAGCGGCTGCTTCTGGACCGTGTGGCTGCCGGCGAGAAGGTGGATGTGGGCGACAAGACCCTCTGGCGTGCACGCACCGCCATTGAGAACTGCGTGCACCCAACCACAGGAGAAACCCTCTTCCCTCTGTTCCGGTTTTGCGCGTTCCTCCCGATGAACGCGTTTATCGTCCCCTTTATGATGACGCCTGGAACGGTCAGCAGCGTCCCGCGCACGATCTTCATTCAGTGGTTTAACCAGAGCTATAATAGCGCGGTGAACTACGCCAATCGCTCCTCCGACAAGCAGCCTGTGGGGGAGCTCACCAAGGCGTACCTTGCCGCGGTGGGCATCTCCGTTTCTGGTGCACTGGGTGCGACGGCGCTGCTTAAGCGGGTGCCGAGTGGCACCCTCCAGGCAACCGTCATCCGCGCGACTGTGCCGTTCTGCGCCGTTTCCGCCGCCGCCATTGCGAACCTCTCGCTGATGCGCAAGAACGAATGGATGCCGTCTGGCACCGGACTGAACGTCGTGGACGAGGACGGGGAGGTGCGTGGACAGAGTCTCGCCGCCGGCATGGACAGCCTGAAGAAGTGCTCGGTGACGCGTGTCGTGTGGAATATTCCCTCGATGCTCCTCCCAACGCTCTTGATGGCTCCCCTTACGACCCGCTACGCCTTCGCCAGGAGCTCGCCGCTGTGCACAGAAACGGCGTTGCAGATTCTGGGCCTCGCCGTGGGTGTGCCGATGGCGCTCGGTGCGTTTAGCCCCACTGTGCGCATTCCTGCGGCCCGCCTGGAGCCGTCGCTGCAGGGGCTGAAGCGCAAGGACGGGACCCCAGTGACGACGTACACGTACTACAAGGGCCTGTGAGAATTCGCTGTCGCGACTGAGTGTCTATCAGCAACGCGGTGACACATGAAACGGACTGTGTTTCTTTTTTGTTTTTGTTTTCCGCCTTCCCATTGGCCACTGCGCAAAGCGTTGTGGCCCCAAAACGAGGGAAGTAAAAATAAGTAGACTAAGCTGCTTCGGTAAATATAAGAAGTTCAACGAAAACGGAAGAGATGCTCGCACACACACAAAACAAAAACAAAAATAAAAACAAAAAAGCAAAGAAAAAAAACAGAAACAAAAACGAACGGGTTATGCTTGAAGGCGCAAAATGAGGAGGCCTGGGTGGGTGGGGGGCAGCTAGTGAGCGCCGTGCAGAGCGAGTAGGGGGCCGCTTCGGCTCTTTGTCACCTCGTGAGACGGAGGAGCCCGCGTGCAGAGGGGGGCGGGCCGGTTGTTTTTTTTAAATTTATTGACCCCATCAAGTACATGTTT